AAGCGTTCTAATTAGAGTGCAGTGCAGCAGGCATTGGGCACATGTATAGATGCCCTAAGGTGCCAACCTGCCATGCCTTTTACCTGGTAAGTAGAAGACCAAGACCATTTAAAAGGGGTCATTATCACCTGTGGAGTCCAGAGATTAGTGGATCAGGTAGACTATAATGGGCCATGAACTCCATGTCTGTGTTAAGCCTATGGTCCTTAATGTCCAGACATGGTTTTTGTTTTTTTAATATTTTGCAAAATTTCCTCCAACCCAAGACTTGAGGTCAGAAAGGGAGTGGCTTTTTTTTTTTTTTTTTTATGAAGAATGATCTCCTACCTGTACTCTGGCTTCTCTGTCCTTTTAGCTTTCTTTCTGTGATCATTCATTCTGGTGGGTAGCTTGTATAGTTTCACCAATGTAGTTTCTGTGAGAGTATTTGGTGCACTGGATGAGGTATACCATATCGTGGGCTAGACTTGTAGGATCTGTGGGCTATGATGGTTTCCTTGTGGGAGGTTTTGGTAGTTGTGACATTTAGAGATAAATTGATAGGTTTTTTTGTAAAGGCAGGACTCACTAGGTGCCTGTGGAGGCAGCTAATGCCCTTGGCAAAGTTAAAGTACTGTCTGGAAGCCAGGAACAGGTGTGGGGAGGGAGAGTAGGGGGCCTAGGAATATTTTCCTCAAGATTTGATCCCTTTTGTGAGTTTTTAAGAATGGAGTGGAAGGTGATACCCAAAGGTGTCTAGTGAGTGGGGGAAGAAGAGGAGTGGGGTTCTTGTGGTAGGTTCATTGGCAAATGCATAGTAAGTAGAGAGGACAAATTTTAGAAAGGGTGGGTACCGGCATCAGGTTGGTGTGTACTGTTCATTAGGGAAACAAACAAAAAAAAAGTTCTAAAAAAAAAAAGGGAAAGTGAATAGGCTGTGATCAGCATAAATTGGAAGTTTTTTATAATAGTAACTTAAGGTAAACTAAGGACACCAAAGAGAAGAATGTGACAGTCAGATGATACAATTGTTCAATAGAAACAAAAAAAAAAAAGCTGTTTTAAAATGGGGGGAAGGTAGGGGGCAAATAGACTATGATCAGCATAAATTGGAAGTTATGCACGATAGGAACTTAAGGTAAACTCAGGACACCAAAGAGAAAAATGTGTCAGGCAGATGGTAAAATGAGCTACAGAACCTCACAAATTTTGGATGTGGCTAGAGCTCTGAGTTTTATCTACACAGAAATAAATGTTTGAGATGATCTTTGTATTTGTAGTCTACTCCAAAAAAAATTAAGGCTGCAGCAATTCATGCTTAGAGATTGTTGAGATTTATTTTCAGATTGCATTACTCTTATTAGAAACACATTAGTCATATGGAACCAATACAAATTAAAGTTTACCCTATTAATTTTACTAGCTTCCTTTTCAAATATTTAAATTTCAGAAGTTTGTGGGTTCCTAATGCATGCTTTTACTAAGCGTTATACCATACTGTAGGACTACTCTTTGTAGATATGTCTTTGTAAAATCAGTACTTCAGTCAGTATTTGATTAAAATTCTAATCCCTGCCCTTTCTACTTAGGCAGACAAGGTTCTTTGGGTAAATTTGATAGCTTTCATTAGACCAACTATCTCTTTCAAGTGGCAAAATTTGATATCTTCCACGTTACAGGGGTAGCTTAAAAGATACCAGATGTACCCAAAGAACCTTATCTGCTTATGTCCTTAGACCAACACGGCTACAACCTATACCATTTTAATTGGGTCATTCAAGTGTTTCGTTAGTAGAACACTGGCTGCGTACAAAGGTTCCACTGCGGGAAATGATTCCACCATTGGAAATCGTTCTGGGGGAGGGTGCAGTTCAGACAGGGCAGTTACAGACTGAATATCTCCTCTGCTCCTTGCCAAGACTGGGATGGTCCTGGTCTGGGGAAAGCACAAGCTATTCCAGTCCTCCCATTCCTGGGGAAACTGGAGCAGTGGGTCAACCCCCCTGCCCACTAATTACACAAGAGACTTTTGTGATTGAAGGAGGTAGAGCACTTGCAGTGCTCTTCTTGGGCTTGCAGTGGTGCACAAGAACTCAGCAGACAATGCAGTATATCGAAGCCTCTCACCCAATTCTCTCTTTCAGGACTCTGGTGTTTGAGAAGTCGGCAGGGAGCAGATGGCAGCTGCTCCAGCTGCCCCTGTGCCTTCTCCAGACTGGAGTGACCCTGGTCTCTGGAAGGCACAGGAGCCTTTCCTTCTAGTTTCACTCCTCCTTCTCCCCCTGGAGGAGTTAAGCAGCAGGGAAGTGTGCAGACATCCATTCTCCTAATGGAAGCTCTTCCAGGAGCAACCTCTTCCTCTTTGGAATAGGGTTATTGTTCTCTCTGAATGACCATTATTGCTTCTGGGAGGACAACCTGGAATGTCTGTACACTTGTGATGTCTACTGGCAGAGCAGCAATTCTTCTGGTAGAAATGGAGTGTCTGTACATTGCCACAGAGGCTACCACTCAAAGAAGAAAAAGGCTTTTTGTACTGACTGTTTTACTATCTTCCCAATGGTGTTGATGGGTAAATAGGCACTGTTGGCTGCTTCCTTCAGAGCAGTAAATTAAATGCAGGTGAGAAGCAAACAAATGTTGTGCCTAATTTTTTATTTCTCATAGTAAGGATCCACTGATCTCAGCATATATTCCCCTTGAGCACTTCTGTAGAATGAATTTTTCTTTCTTATGTTCACGTGTCACAAACTTCCATGCAAAGCTAAAATGCTTTTTATTTATTTGTGTTTTGTATATTGTTTTTGTTCACTTTATAATTCTTTTAGCTTGTCTTTCTTCAGTTCTGGAAATTATCATCTTAGTAGTCTGTGGTTAGTAAAACAAACATGCCAGTAGGAGGATCTTGTAGTTTCAAAAGAAGTGAAATTTTGGTCCAAATATGCAGAATAATTGTGATGCACAAAGAGATTCAACAAAATTTGATTAACTGTTAACACACTGATAAAATTATAGGCCCTGCTCTTCCCCTGGTTTTATTTGCAGGCTTCTCCAGTAGTTTCAGTGTAGGATTTGGCAGTGCACTGACTGTTGTAAGGAGAGTGTTTGAGCTCTGAACAGAAATTTATTCAAGTTACTAATTTGGTCATGATTATCTATAGGCTCCCCCTTCTCCCCTGCTTCCAGACCTTTCTCTTATTCTTGTAAAACAAGTATGTTTTTCAAATGCCTTCATTACTTTTCCCCCCCCCCCCCCCCACCCCTCTTTTCAGAGACTTTCCTCCTTTTT